GTTTGGCTATTTATATGATTATCCTCCAATATAAATGATCAGCTGAACACCTTTAGGTGTTGTATTATTTTTACTTAAACAGTATCACCTTTTGTTCTACAAACTTGAATCTGTCTTTCACAAAATGAATTTTCTCCTGTTACATTTTTGACTGTTGACACTGTTTTGTTATTCTTCTTCCAGAACACTAAGTTTTCTTATGTTATATTTTTGCCAGTCTTCCTTGTCTATCAGATTCTTCCCTTTTGTCCTTTACTCTTTTTCTCCTGTCTGATGAGAGAGTTTTTCAAGTATATTTAATTTTCAATAATGTTAATTCTAATTTTTATTACTTCATTTCTAAATTCATTGTTTTGTTACTGCATTTCTTGTTTCCTTATACTTTTCTCTCCTTATTTTGCTGGGTTCGTTTCAGTTTCTATCTCAACTATTTCTCTGTATTCATGCTAAATTGTCTCATCTTTAATCTTTTCCAAATTTGTAGTGTTGCTTTTTCATATATAAGAGGTACAAAAGCAATTGTCTAAAGCTTACTTTGATTTCCCCTAATTTACTTATATTTTCTGTAGCTCAAGTGCTGTGTTATGTCTTTGATTCCATGGTACAGTGGTACCTCAGTTCATGAACTTAATTCTTTCCACAATTCTGGTCGAATTGGCTGAGAATGGAATCAAAATCAGTGTTTAGGTTCAATGTTGACTATATGGAGAAATTTGATTCAATTCTTGTTCAACTCAGTTTGTGACGGGAATTGTGGAAAGAATTAATTTTGTGAACTGGGGCAGTACTGTATTTTCCTGACACCAGTGTTTATTTTTCCTTTTTACTCATCCTTAAACAACATTATGTCTATGTTATTGGAAATGCTTACCATAAATTGGATTCATGGCTTCTCTGTGGTTCTTCTCTTAGAAGAACAAGATCTGATATATGGCCTCATAGTGTATTTCTGAAGGTTTTTTTCTAAAGTGGATCTGATAGTGTTAAGTCGGAGGTCATCACTTGATTTTGCTACCTGGTTATTTTATTCCTAGATAATCTAGCATAAGGAACCACCCTACCCATTACCCCCACTTTGAAAATCAGCCTTTGTATTGCTGATTTTATACCTCCAGATGTAGACTCCAGTCCTTACGTTTTCCACAACATTCATGTTAGATGGATAAGAATTTTAGACCCAAATTGCAGGTAGAAAAGTATGGGTTTTAGATATGATGCCCTAATGAGTGAAACTGACCTCTTGTGCAGGAGGAAGGGCTGTTCTTCCAAGTCTGGGCCTTGATAAACTTGAGGCTTTTGTAGGTAAATGGTCACAACTAGAGATCATGCTCATAAGTGAAATAAATCAGACCCACATGTGTAAACGATGTATTGTCTCACTCATGTAAGAACCTGAAAGAATGAATAAAAATTAGGAGGTAAGATAGACATTGTGAAACAAAACGAAACTGCTCAAAAGTAAAGAACAACTGGGGTGAGGGAAAAGAGAAAAGAAACAAGGGGAAATTTATGTATGTATGTATATACAGGATAGCTAACATAGTTGAACTACTGACTTTTGTCAATTTATTGAAAGGAACAGTTAATGATTAATTATTTGATCAATCTTACATGTCTGTATTTGTTTTCCTGAGTAACCACTTTGAATATATCAATATGTAATACAACAATTGTTAATTTCCTATCACCTTGTCTGAAATTCATTATTGCTTGTATTGTTCTTGTGTTATTTTATAAATGTATGTGTGTTTGTTAATATGTTTTAATTCTTTTGTTTTTAAAATAAAAAAATAGAATACAAAATTGTCCTAGGTGGCTTAGATATTTTACCTGAGATTACTTTCACTTTTTTGTAGTGTGAGTTAAATTCCTTTTTCAGTCTAACAGATCACTGATTAATTTTTGTGGAGTACTTAAGTTTGTATAGTGTGTGTGTGTGTGTGTGTGTGTGTGTGTGTGTGTCTGTGTATTTATTTCAGTGGGAAGGTGGGCACAGTCTGGTAAAAGTGTTACTAGCTTCTGTCTCAGCACACTGATAGTGCTACCTGGCTTGCTTAAAGTGCACAATATAAATTTGTTGAATGTGTGAAAAATGATTTAATCTTTGAGGATTTTTGAAGAACCGATCGCACATAACTGTTTATTATTTTGCTACATTTTTCTAGTATTCTTCTAGTTGCATATTTTGCAAGATATGTTTTAGGGATATCAGATTCATAACATGATCTGTGAAAAAAGGGCTCCATGCACAAATAATTTCTGGAAATGATGGATAGTAAATATTTCTCTTAGAAATCCATTCATTATGTAAATATACTAAAGGCCTCAAAAAGACATACCTGTATAATCTGGGCTCATGAAACTATTTAAAACAAAAAGCTTAATTTTAATTCAGCAAAACCTTCCCATAGTGATCACAGAAACCTATTGTGTTAATGAGCTTTCTATTACTAAGAGAAAATACCTGAGAATAACAACTTAAAGGAGGAAAGGTTATTTTGGCTTGCAGTTGCAGAGCTTCCATTTCATGGTCAGCTGGATTCATTGTTATAGGCCTGTAATGAGGCAGATGATCATGGTGGAGCAGGTGTGGTGGAGCAGAGTTGCTCATCTCATGGCGGCCAGGGAGTAGAGAGTGAGCAAGCCAGACTGGAAGGGGCTGGAACATGTGTAGTCTCCAAGGTCGTGTCCAAGTCTCCAAGGTCGATGGGCATGCCCCATCCCCTTCAGTTAGGTCCTACCTCCTAAGTTTCCCTCACCTTCCTGAGTACCGTCAAGTTATGAATCCATCAGTAGGTGGATCCACTGATGAAGATAGAGCCCTCGTGGTCCAGTCACCTTTCAGAAGCCCTGCCTCCAAACAGATGAGCCTTTCAGGGGACATTTTGTATCCGAACTATAATACCCATCTTTTAATAGCTCATAAAAGACACTTTGGGAATTTCTATGATTTTGAAAATATAGTATTTTTGGACCTCATAGAGTTTATTTTAGACTTTTCAACCAAGTAAACTTCAATTTTTTAAATTTGAATTTTTTCCAGCATCAGATACATAAACTGTGACTAAATGTAACTGGATTGTCCAGATCTAAGTCAATAATTTCTATTTTTATTTGGCCTTTGGAACAATATACTATCTTTATGGCATTTTAAAAATATATGTTACTTTGGGCAGTAAGTTCGTTTATTTAAGAAAAGGAAATATATGTTTTATTGATGCACTAAGCTGAGAGAGCACTTGTCTTAGTTAATTTTCTCTCCTTGCTGAGACAGAACACCCAATGCCCAAATTTAAGGAAGGAAAGCCTATTTATCTCACAGTTTGTGGCAGTTTCAGTTCGCAATCGGCTGGCTGTAAGGCAGGGTGGCACATGGTAGAGGGGCAATCATTCATGGTGGCACAAGACAGCCAAAGCAACAAGAGAGAAGGGCGAGACAAGCCTCTTTTTGTCCCTTATATTGTATCTAGTCTACCAGTATTAGGGTGGTGCCAATCCACTCAGTGGACTGATCCACCCACCCTTAATCCCAGCACCCTTAATCTTATCATTGAACCATGAATCAGTCACATACTGTAGATTCAGCCACCTCTGAAAAAAGCGCCCCCCCTCCCCCGTGACTGTATGGCGCTTTGGGGGGACATCTATACACAAACTATAACAAGCCTTTACCCTATGTTGTAGAGCATTTCTATATTTCCCGTGGGTGCAGTAAGAGAGACAGTTTGACAGTCTTTACTCATGGCTTTAATATTGTGTGTTAACTTGGGAAATAAACCTATAGTTATGCAGAATTTCTACCAAAATGATACAGCTATCCAGGCATGGTGGCTATTAGGAGGTTGAGGCAGGAGAATCACTAGTTTGAGTTCAGCCTGGGCAATTTAGCGAGACCCTGCTTCAACAAAACAAAACAAACAAAAAAAAACTACAATGGGCTGGGGATGTAGATCAACACTCCATGAATTTAATCCCCAGTAGTGGGGGTGGTGGGCAGGGGGAGGAAAGTTACAACTGAGTGAAGTAGGAGAGTTGACTAATTTTATTTTGTTTCAGAGTATTAAATTTTTTATTGCATTTCTACTTTCTCTTTAAGATAATATCTGGTCAGTGAGCAAGTCATCTTTCTCTTTTTTTTTCTCCTCATGGTACTGGGGTTGCACCAGTGCCTTTATACCACTGGGCTACCCTCCCCAGACTTCCCCCATCTCCTTATTTTTAATTTTGAAACAGAGTGTCACTAAGGGAAAGGACCCAAACCTGTAGTCCTCCTGTCTCCAACGACTGGATTACAGTCAAATCATTTTTCTTTTGACTCTTCATCCTGTGAGATTCAGTGTGCTTATACTAGTTCCCACTGTGCAATGACTGTTTAAGAAGCCACTTTTTATTTATTTATTTTGTAACTAATACTTCTATACTTGCTTTTCTACTCTTCTGCATCTGAATACTTTGTTTCTCCTTCGTATCTGTTTGGTAAGTAGCAGTTTTTTGTTGTTGTTTTGCTTTTGATATTTAGAGTTTGAACCAACTTAAGGGATTGTTTTTAAAAAGAAATGTTTTGTTTTAGAGCCTCATTTTTGGTAGTGGTAGTAATGTGGAAGGGTTGGTGAAAGGCGATATTGGTAAATAAAGCCCAACAAGTTTCAGCTGAACAAGTTTTCCTAGTAGCTCCCTAAATATGGTTTGTAGTAAATTTGTAGTACATTGCCCAGTTCAAGTTCTGAGATTTCCGTACATTCAAAGTCTCTCTATACTTCTTTCTACAGCTGTTATCTACAGATCTCTCCCACTGGTTCCCTAAAATATCATTTCTGATGCAATTTTCCCAAATGATGACATATTTTAGAATTAAAAATGATGTCTAAGAATATAATTTAGTTATGTTATTAAATCTGTATGAGCACACCGTATTCTAAGAGTTCACAAACATCTAAATAAAAGATAATTAAGCTTTTATATTCAGTGTAGTAAATGAAATTCTGTTTTATCTTGAACAGACAAACAACAGAAAGGTGAATTTGCAATAGATGGCTATGATGTCAGAATGAATAACACCCTTAGGAAGGATGGAAAGAAAGATTGCTGTTTTGAAATCTGCGCTCCTGATAAACGTGTCTATCAGGTTGGAGTTTTTCTGTTGCCTTGAAATTAAGTTGATAAGATGTTCTGATTTCATTTATAGAGACATTAACATTTTGTTAAAACAGCTCTCCCTAACATGTTGATAATAATAAAACTTACTGGGTTTTATGCATTGAACATTCATGTAAAAAGAAATATACTTTAAAAATTTTCAGATTAGTTCAAGTGATATCTTCTTGAAAAAGATCAAGTGAATATGCAATTTATCAATTACTCCACATGTAGCATTTTATATCTATCTTAGAAGAAGTATGTGATTTCCTAAAAGAATTACATACTCTGAAAGAGTAAAATTATCAAAGGAAAAATATTAAAGTGTTAATGCATATTGTATTGCTTAGGGGTGCGGGAGAAAATGAAGATAAAGACACGGATCAGCTCTGCAATTCAAGAGCTATCAGCTAGACATCAATATGGAATGTATGTTTAATAAGTTTTAAATATCTGAGATTGCAGTTGAAAGCTAGTTAATTAAGTTGTCAGGTAGTGTGTTGGAATCTGACAAGAACATTTTTAAGAAAACTGTACCCAGCAATCTAAAGAAATTCATGGGTGTCTTCTAATTGTCAAGGGCAAATTTTGTTCATCAGTTCTGTCTTTGACATTGATGAAGAGAAGCAGCTTTTTTCCTGCACAGCTGCCAGCTGCTGATCAGAGTTTCAAATCCATCATCCTCTGCTTCAATTACATAAATTTGTCAAAATTAACTGTACATTATAAGAAGCATCCTTGCAAGGAAAGTACCACTCGACATGAAAAGAATTACTAATCGTCTCAAAGAAATGATAAGAAGGCGACATTCCTTTTATTTCTACTGTGGTGATTTTTATTCTTATTGTCTTGGTTTTTTATTATTAGTTTACAGCAGCTTCTCCTAAAGATGCAGAGGAATGGGTGCAGCAGCTGAAATTTGTATTGCAAGGTAAGAGTACTGGTTGACTATGTAATCACAATTTTCCACTACTAAATAACTGAGTGATTTTGGTTTTTATATGCAAGGGCTTATTGACTTCTGTGAGAATAACCAAAGAACATGATTGGTATTAATGGAGACCGTTCAGTTCAATTTATAAAAGCATCTTTTCCATTAAGTACCGGTTGGCAACTTTAAAATTCACACATTTACCGATCCATTTTAAAAATATTTTGAATAAAGAATATAGCACATAACAGTATTATTGTTATTTTGCTTACTTAGGAAATTTAAATTTTAAAGTCTTTTGCAGTCTTTTAAAATTTGCTTTGTGAAATGTATTTTGTAGATATTCAATCTGATATTATTCCTGAAGATGATGACGAAAGAGGAGACGTGTATGATGATGTCGATCATCCTCTACCAATCAGCAGCTCCCCAAAAAGTACTCAGCCAATGGAAGAGGAAATATATGAGGAACTTCCAGGTATTTATTTTCTAGTGATTCATATAAAGATAATAGGTCCTTTTTGTGTGTGCACCTGTGTGCCGGCTCTGTATGTGTGTGTATAATTTGTCATCAAGTTGACAACTTGAGTAGAAAATGGTCAGCTACTAAGAGCAAGGACAAAGAAAACTTTTAAAACTCTATTTTGCACAAAGGGTTCTGTTTGGAGTATTTCAAGTGAGCGGACTTACACTTAGGAAAAGTGAATGAAGTGTTAAAGTGAAGCAGATACAATCCTAATCTCTTGGGACGTTTGGCTCATTAGCATTGTTTATGCTACATAATTTTTTAATTAAAAAACTGACTTGCCTTACAGTTTTTTCCACCAACTCACACATCATTTTTTATTTATACATCTTGGAACTTCCATTAACCAGAAGTTCCATGCACACCCCATATGTCATCAACTTCTGCCTGTGTGTTCTTCCTTACTGTGCCTTGTCTTGGAGAAATGTTGTTGGACTATAAACAAAGGCCTTTTGAGGCTTGAGGTCTTCTTATTGATATTTTGGCATGAAATCAAAACATTTTCTTATTACACATTTTGGGCGTGGTTTACAGTTTACATGCTTCAGTGTTGTTAGTTACTTATGGCTACTTTTGAGTTTTGAGAATCAACCTAATGCAGAAAGATAGGTATCTAAAATTTAGAGTTCTTAGTATATAACAGCATTCAGGGAATTGCATTACTAGTACTGTAGGTTGAAATGAACCTTTTCCTGCCTTTGAGAAAATCAAGAGTTAGAGAAGGAAAAGGGAGTATCGGCAAGTAAGTGAGGTTTAACTAACATGTAGAGAGGCTAGTTTTCTCTGACTATAACAATTTAATGACTTAATAGCAACTTTTAAAATTGATTTCAGAAGTACTTACGAAGTTCCAAATTAATGTACAAATGGCACTTTCCACCAGTCAGGAAAACATAGAACATGGACTTTAGAGTAAAAATTTTATAATACTGTGTTATCATTTATAATTTTATAATACTGAGTGGTATCATTTATTAGTTCAATGACCTTATAAGTTAATTTCTTCATCTATAAAATGGGGGAAATGAGGTAATTCAGCACAGTGCTTGAATCAAACTCACAATAAATAATAACATCATTATTATTTTTATTATCATATATGGTGAACTCTTCAAATGCTTATACGATAGTATAGCAATGGTTTTCTGGCCAAGTAATAGTAATTGCCACTATTATAAATTCAAGATATAAAAACTATGCATGGAGTCTATGAATTGTCTTTTACTATCCCAGAGGAAGATGATTAGCACAAAAGTATAATTTTGTGGGGAATAGTGATCTGTGTATTTCTGTTATTTAATGGAGCTACATATTTATAGCTCTTTGCTTCACGGGTTGTCCTAAGGAAATGGCATCTGCCATATAGCACAGTAACCTTCAGGTAGAGAAGAATATTCTTTGGCTACTTGCTTTTAGGTCACACCATATCATGAATAAAGTTATTTCAGGCTTTAAAATATTTGAAACAACTCATGGGAACATAGACTGTTGTAAAATGGAAGAGTATAGTACCTTTCAACATATTATTGCTATTTACATTTTGTACTATATTAGAATTGTGGAATTAACTTTTAGGTTCTGTTTCTTCAACTTGACTATTGTGTCCTACCAACTCAAGGAAGAAAATGAGAATAAACATAAAATATTCATAGTTATCTCCTTAACAGAGACCCAAGAAAGATCTCTAAGTAGCTTGACATTTTAAAAATATGAAACATCTTTCATTTTCTCTCACTACAGATGTTCTTCTTCTTCTTTTTTTTTTTTTTTTTTTTTTTTTTTTGGCCTGAGGCCACGTAGTTGCTGGAAATACTGGTTACTCTTTAAGCAGTGTTACTTCTTACTGTGGTACTAGGAGAAATTTAAGCTGGTCTGGGATTTCTTTGTCTCTGCCTGAGATCCCCAGTTGCTGTACAGTGATTGAGCTTGATAGAGCCTGCAACTGTGCCCCTGGGAAGGGAGCTGTAGGCAGCTGTGGAATGTCTAGTGCTTCTTTCTTCCCCAGTGTAACCGAGAGCTGCTTCAACATCTGCACAGTTCAGCAAGTTTGGAGATTTTGAGCCAGCAGCTACAGAGGGGATTTTTCTAGTGAGGCCCTAAAGTTATCTAAGAGTTACAGGTTTTATTTACTTAAATATTGAAAACAGGAAAGTAACTTTTTAAATTTAAAAATTGTCTTTCATGATAAGAATTAAGCTTATTCCTTTTACTTCTGTGAAATTTGGGTATACTTTTGAGGTGAGGGTGATGAGAACAGTGAAAAAGAAGAACAGTTCCAAACTGTTGATATTTTTCCGGTTCTCTATAAATGATGATGTGTCTCTGAAATCTGACTGGTTAACTTCCCAGAATTAAATAATGCTGCCATTTCAACATAATTTTCTGTCAATTACATATTATTGAAAAATAATCCTAAGTTGAGAGATGAGGCATACAGATGTATTTGAAGAAAAATCTAAACACTTAACATGCTATTTTAAATCACAAAGCTCTTTTCCTGAGAAAGTCAAGTTCTTACCATAACAACTAAATTTTTAATGTAAAAGAAACCTTCAGTGTTTTAAGTCTGAAGAGTAAGAAGAAGAAAACATTGTTTAAAAATTATATTGCAAAATATTCCTTGAAAACAATGTTTATAATTCTATGGTAGTATAGTTTCATTGTAATTGTTTTTCAGTTAGAATATTCTAACTTTCTTACAGCACCTTCACTTTAATTTTTTTTTAATTTCTTGTTTATTAATTTTTAACTAACTTCATCAAAGAATGAGAATACATTTCTAGATTTCTTTGTATTTAGGGTATTTATACGTATGTGCAGATGAGTTGAGGGAATGATATTTCTGGGCAGTATTAAACGTATTTGGCTTTTCTTCAAACACCGTAATGCTTTAATATCTTTTATATTTTATTGCTTATTAGCATAGGCCAGTCAGGTTTGCACACATTGTGCTAGTACTATAGCATATTTTTGTTTGCCCATCTAATATATTAATCAAAGTATATTAAACTGTTTTATAATACAGTAATGAGTTCATTTTGCTTAGCGTAAACTCCAGAATTTATTGGTCACTTTTTCATAAGAACTACAGAGGAACATTTTGGTCTGATTTTGAATCCTGAAGACAAGAAGCAATACTTGGAATATTGCTGCAGAAATCAACATATCTTGCTCTTCCCTCCTAGTTACTATGTCATCTGATTTTTTTCCTTTAATGGTAGAAAATTGTGCAGCAACAACAACAATAATAAGATTTTTTTGGATGTAGAGTAAAGTCACCCTGAAAACAAGAATGGTAACCATCCATCAGCCCATTAACTCTGCAGCTTTGAGGGGAATTCCACTGGAGATGATCGGTGAGTGGACTGGAAGAGAGAGGGTTAATATAAAGCAGGAAGACAAATTTCTATTCCATTAGCCTATTTTTTTAAAGAGTGAATTCATTTTTTTTAAAAAATTGCAACGACAGATTGAACTATGCTGAGCCAGAAAAGGATATTTTTATCTTTTTTTTTTTTTTTCTGGTCATTCAATTACACTTAAATTTTTTCAGTCCAAGTATCTCCATTTATAATGAAATATAAAGTAAAATGCAGCTGTAAATTTTTCAATGAAACTATTATGTACACATAAAAAAGAACAGTGTTTGAGTGCTTAAATTTGAAGTAGTTTCCAGCAAGTGGACAAAAAATAGAAGTTTAATCAATAAGTAGTTACAAACCCCAAAATATATTTTAGCATTATTTCCCTCCTGAATGATTGTCACTCATATCATGTCACTCATCATAAAGGAAGCAGACATCCTACAAGCTTTGGCTATTAACATTACTATAATGAGGGTAGGTCTTGACTTCAAACAATTTTTCTCATTCCTTTTTTGAAAGGCAGTGGAAAAATGTCAGTTAACTTTCATTGAACCACATTATTCAGCATTTCAAGGTTGTTAGTCTAGGTAGCATTCTTTTTTCTTAAAGTATGATACTTAATTATAAAGTTATTAAGTATGGTGATATTATATCCTAACATACAGTACTATAAATATTTTTCCCAAGTAGGTAACTAGATTAGAGTCATATGTTTGGACTATTTTAGCTCCAAACTCTGCTGAGAAGATTATGTGAAGTTATAAAAAATTTTAAAAAAAATCCATACACTAGGGTCACTGCTATTTGTTTATACTTTTATCTTTACTGAACACAGATATGTTTTTTCTATCTTTATGTTGTCCGTTTCAGAATATTATTCTGCCTATCATGTAGCTTTTCTGTACTTTGCCACTGGCATTTCAAACAACTTCATTAAGAAATGGCTTCACACATATTGAGACATGAAATATCTGTGTACATTCAAAATATGTATTTTCTGGTAGAGAGATAAAATGACCTATTTTTGCAGTTGGATCTACATCAGAAAGAGAATGGAAAAGAAAGGTAGAGAACATAAGAATTGGTAGTACATGTAGAAATAAGTAAAATGTGTGCAAGCAGCTTTACCTATTATTTTAAAATAAATCTTATTTTTTAATTTAAAGAGGCGAGACTAAATTTTAGCTGCCAATTAAAGTTAGCTGAGGCAAGTTAGAGGCATGGGGTGGTGAAAGCATGCTAAGTGCAGTCTTGTTGAGAAAGGGTAGGAGCAGTAATGAGTAACTTTAGCCTTTTAAGGGAATACATGTTAAAATTTCAAAGTAAGTAAAAAAAATAAAAATGCAGCCCAAAGTTTCCTAAAGCAATAGAATGAAGTAAAAAGTGGCCACATAAAAATTTGTAAATCCCAAAGAAGACAGGAAATAAGAAAATGGAATGAAGAGAAAATATAACAAAGTAAAAGGTACTATAAAAGTAATTAGAATAGTGATAACTTTGTTAATCTATTAAAAGAGATGATCACATTTGATTTTTCTTAAATCTAGTGGTATTCTTCTTAGAGGAGGTATACCGAAAATAAACCAC